CTCTACACTCCCATCGCACACAACTGAGCCACCCGAATTATCGATCACCAGATATTTTTAATGGGCCTCACCTCGCTGCTGTCAGCTGCTGTCTGTCAACAGGTAGACAACTGCAGTGTGCGTAAGCATTGAAGCATACTCGTTAGTGTGTTGTGCATGTAGGGTGTCCCTCATGTAGGGCAGAACAAACGTTTCAAATCTGTCATGATGGAGCGGCAGGAGAGTGAGATCAGCCAGGCAAACTTCGAACAACAGCTGCCATTATATGTGATACCACGTTGTGTACGGGAGACGCCGTGCGAAGATGGGATGTTGATTGTGGGGATTTTTCTGGCACAAAACTCGTGAGCACAACACCACCGTGCATTTTTTCCTTTCTCAACGCCGGCTGCAGCAAGGGCTCATTTAGACAGGTTGGCTCGTCCATGAATCCCGACCCTTCTGAGAAGCAAGGTCATTTCCTGCAGCCTTCTTCCTGGACAGTACGAAGGCGTCGAGCACAAAAAGCAGCTCTCGGTTCGACCCTATACATACGTGCAACAACCCAAAACTCGGGTATCCAACGACGGTCTAGCAGACTACATGTATGGTATGCCGAAGACATACTGGGCGAGGCATGCGAGTCTCGCTGCGTTTTCAAGCCGACACGGGGGAGCCTTATCACAAGCACGGACGGCGGGTACCGGTATCTCTTGAGTCAAGGTGAATCCTCGGTCAGTGTGTCTAGGGTCAGCGGCTTGCAGTAGTCGACAAGTTTTTCACGTCAGACGAGACGCACGAGAACGCAGTCAGGTCCAGGGAGTTCTCACCTACAGGAAGCGGAGCTTCAGATCGGCACTTCTTAGTGTAACACGAGTCTTGATGGTGGTGCAGATCAGTATGTATCGAAGCACGAGGAGACGTGAAAGTGTCTTGCTGGTGTGTCGTTGTGTGTTGCCTGGTAACTCAGCAGAGAGACGGAGTGGGGGACGGATCGGCGGTTCACCAACATTATCAAGATTTCATTCTTTGGAGAAAAACATGTGTACATAGATCCCCTTGATATGCAGTAGGTAATACGTGAGTCCGTGCAAAGGTGCGGCCTTGCCTTTTCTGTAGTGGGAACTGCACAGCAGTTTGTTTGTTGTTGTTGTTTCTCAACTTAGCTCTAGACAATAGTCCACAAATAATGGGGAGCCCGTGGTCTCACAACCCGGCACATACGACGCCGTGGGGAAACAAAAACAAAATAGGGTACAAACCACTCGGAAAAAGAAAACAAAATGATAGAAAGAAAATAACAGGTATCGCACCGACCGTTCGAGAAAAGAGCCCTCGGAAACCGATCAAAATAAAACCAAAACTAAAATAAAGGAAGGCGCTTCCCACACCCGCCTGAAGGAAAAACAAAAGGGTAACGTGCCAGCACCAGGCACTACGCACCAGGGCATGGGAGTAACGGAGCAAACAGGACAAAGAGGCGGCAGATGGGCAGACAGCCAGACCCACAAAAACAAAAGCAACAGCAAAAGCGAGATCAAGGTACCCAACACAGCAGAGTAGGCAGGGAGGTCATGAACAAAAGGAACACAGCACAGAGGCCGACGGCAATACAAAGGACATACACAAAGGAGTATAGCATACAGCAGGGAGGGAAACAGGGCCCAACAACATCAGCCGGGTACATAGTTCGCCACAAGTGCTGCCTCGGCCGCCCTACTCGCTTCTACAGCAGTGCCCGGTCGCCGTTTCTTCCTCCCACCGCCGCTTCTGTTGGTACAGGCCTACCCCATTAGACTACTCAGTCAGCGCTGACTAGTCTAATTGTGTAACATTATCTTACAAAAGATATACGCTCAGCTTGTTAGCACCCGGCTGGATCACTTGGGTCTAGAGCTTGGGATTGAGAGCAGNGAACACAGCACAGAGGCCGACGGCAATACAAAGGACATACACAAAGGAGTATAGCATACAGCAGGGAGGGAAACAGGGCCCAACAACATCAGCCGGGTACATAGTTCGCCACAAGTGCTGCCTCGGCCGCCCTACTCGCTTCTACAGCAGTGCCCGGTCGCCGTTTCTTCCTCCCACCGCCGCTTCTGTTGGTACAGGCCTACCCCATTAGACTACTCAGTCAGCGCTGACTAGTCTAATTGTGTAACATTATCTTACAAAAGATATACGCTCAGCTTGTTAGCACCCGGCTGGATCACTTGGGTCTAGAGCTTGGGATTGAGAGCAGGGATCTCCGGGGCCTGACCCCTCGCCAGGCGCTGATAGTTGTAGGTGCACTTTTTTTCTTGTAACGAAAAGTGATCCAGCCGGTATTCGAACTCGTGCGGGTATCCTTTGTAAGGTAAAGTTACACCATTAGATGAGTCAGCGCTGACTAGTCTAATGGTGGAACATTATCTTACATCGCGGCGTCAAGATCAACGCCCTCATCAAGCGCATGCTCTAATTTTCGATTGATGGAGGATGGATGTGATCATGATCATTGTGGTCCACGTGGATGACATTTTTGCCGTAGGGCAGAAGGAGAGATGTAGCAAGTTTGGCAGTGACCTCAACGAGATGGTCCCCGTGAAAAACCTTGGGGAGTTGAGGTGGTACTCCGCGTGCTTTTACCAGAGAGATCTAGAGAGAGGCCTTTTGAGGATCTCGTAGCACGGTTTGCACAAGAGGAGGGCGCTTTCGATCGGCCGGGGGCAGCGTCCTGCGGCCGGGAGACGAGAGGTACGACNAGCAAGTTTGGCAGTGACCTCAACGAGATGGTCCCCGTGAAAAACCTTGGGGAGTTGAGGTGGTACTCCGCGTGCTTTTACCAGAGAGATCTAGAGAGAGGCCTTTTGAGGATCTCGTAGCACGGTTTGCACAAGAGGAGGGCGCTTTCGATCGGCCGGGGGCAGCGTCCTGCGGCCGGGAGACGAGAGGTACGACGAGGAGGCCAACCTCGCGGCCGCAATTTTTGCCAGCAGTATCTCGGGCACCGGGGGAAGCGATGGCGGCGGCGGCGGCGGCGGTGGCGGCGCGGGAGGCCGGGCGGTCAACAGTGGCTTGCCGACGGCGGAGAACGGCGAGTTGCTCAGCATGGTACCTCCCACGATCGAGGCTGTCATGGACATCATTGAGAGCAGGGATCTCCGGGGCCGCTTCCCCGACTCTTTTTCTCTTCGGTCCTGAGATGGCCATACTCTCTGCTTCTGCTTCCCTCGCGCGCTGGCGCTTCGCGGACGCTTCCGCCTCCTGCCTGTGCCATTTCCTCATGAGCCATGCCGCCCCATCCTCGACCTTGTTGTACCACACCTCCGGGTCCTGAGCGCGCTCTTTCCATTTGCCCGCTTCCTTTTCGTCTCCCATGTTGAAGGAAGAGGTCCTCTCCTAGACGAGACACCCAGTCGCGCTCCTGCCCGCCCCGGTATCCCACGCCCCCCGCCATCGCTCCTAACAGCATGCGCTTGGGGAGGCGGCTGTCCTCCATGCGCATAACGAAGCCCGCGAAACACAGTCTCCGTTTGCGCACGGTGGCCTCGATGGTTTCCTCGCAGCCTGCCTGGATGAGGGCCTGGGCATAGGACAGGGGGCGGTCTGAGCGTTTCCGCTTGCTCCAGCCGATGCACCGTGTGAGGAACTGGCGGTGGGTCCCATTGAGCTTCGTGTAGTGCTCCGCTGTTAGGCTCCACGAGGCGCACCCATACAGGAGAGTCTCCACCACTTCAGCCTGGAGAAGCCGGATCTTGAGCTGGCGGTCGGCCCGTCGCCTGTCGTACATCGAAGCACTGTTCCGGCGGTAGCACTTCCACGCTCGGTAGCTGCGGCTCGTGATCTTCCGGTCGGCCTTCCCGTCCGCGGAGATGGTACGTCCGAGGTACACAAACCGATCTGTCTGCTTGTACGTCTGGCCGGCGGCGCTGACCGTGAACGGGTGTTCCTCGATCCCTTTTGGCAGCATGCACATGATCTCCGTCTTTGGCTCCGACACCATCAGTCCGAACAGGCCGGCCACGCGCACGATGACCGACATCATCTTCTCGAGACTCTCCGGCGAGCGCGAGACGATGGCCGCGTCGTCAGCGTAGAGCATGGCCCACAAGGCCTCCGCGTCCGTCACCACCGTCGTCTTCCTCCCCGCCGACCTGCCCTTCTTGCCCGTGTACTCCACTTGTGTCCCGATCTTGACCATGTCCGCCGTCACCTTGGGGTCCTTGTCGAACTCGGCCACGGCGACCATGAGCATCGCGGCAAAGAACAAGTTGAACAGCAGGGGGGCGAGGTTGCATCCCTGTCGGAGGCCTTGGCCCACGTCGAACCATTCCGAGTACTGCCCGTCGTCCGTTCGGACGCGCGCCCTCATGCCCTCGTGGAAGTGGCGAATGACCGCCAGCATCTTCGGGGGCACGCCGAAGCGTCGGAGCACGTCCCACAGTAGTAGGTCTCGGTCCACCGAATCGTATGCCTTGGTGAGGAGTGAAGGAGCAGAGAAGAACCAAATCTTGACACATTCTTTCGGCGGGTGTGGGAAGCGTCCTCCTTTATTTTTATTTTTTTTGTTATTTTTGTTTTGTTTTATTTTGATCGGTGTCCGAGGGCTCTTTTCTCGAACAGTAGGTGCGATACCTGTTCTTTTCTTTCTTTCGATCATTTTGTTTTCTTTTTCCGAGTGGTTTGTATCCTATTTTTGTTTTTTATTTTCTCGCGGCGTCGTATGTGCCGGGTTTTGAGACCACGGGCTCCCCATTTTTTGTGGACTATAGAGCTAATGTGAGAAACAACAACAACAACAACAACATGCCTCTACCCGAACCGTTAGTAATCCCCCCGCGAACCAAACAACAGCAGTTCCCGCATCTTCTATACATCATCCTCCCTCTTCCCACTTCACCCCGAAGCAAAGCTTGGCCACACTGCCCCTCGAATCCCCGCACTTTAAGCATGTGTGGGTGTAAGACTTACGGCACGGTGAAAGAGTGGGAGGCAATAGCTAGAGGCAAGTGAACCGACCGGGTACAAATAGTATGCTGTGGCACCCCGCTATTTTCCCTCCGCTAAGAAAAACGTTGAAACCCGGGTACAGCAGAGTGAGCCGCGTGGTACGAACACCGACATACCTACGTAGCTCTGAGGTAATGGGCTGGAAGCAAACCGCAGCGATCGGGAGCAGTATCGCCGCTATGGTGCTTACGATGCGGGCTGCGTCGTTCGTGAGAGCGCCAACGCCCACGGCGGGCATGATGAGAGCTATCGCCAGCAGGGCAGGTGCGCTTGGGTGCTTCCCAGCGGGAACAACATCCGTCTCTTGGTGGAGCTGACCATTGTGTGTCACCGCTTTGTTCTTCGTCCAACTCTCTCTCCCTCTCTCCTAATAGTATATGACCATTAGGTGCGGTAAGAGGGTGTACCTCCCCAAGATCGGTTCATCTTTTCTGCTATCGCTGTGTGTGATTGCTCTGGGCATTTGTTCTGATGCAAGCTTCAGCACGGTTTGTTATTGCAGGCGACCAATCTGTCGGACGCTCGACTTTATTATCGCTGCTGGAAACTCAGAGCTGTCGGACGTGCCTAAAGGCAATCGGGGCTGGTAGGTGGACTTGTACAGTTCATCCTACCCCTTATTCTGCAGGGAGTTGTGCGCGCTGGGAAACAGCCCAGATGGGCGGCAGTACATACAGTATGGAATGGTCCTGACGCCAGTTTACTTTTGTTGACAAGGAACGAAGGAAGTCACTCAGGGAAGAGAGTGCTGCACTCTTCTCGCGTTAACAGCAGTCCGAAGAAAGGCAAGCGCCTCGCAGGAAGGTTGGGTAGGGAAAGCCCCAGGGAGAGGGAGTCTTCTGTGCGACCATGGAGATCCTACCTGTGGCCACGGAGCTCCTACCCGGAACAAAAGCGCTGAAGGAAGTCATGAAAAAAAATAAAAACGGTGTCAAACCGATTACAGCCGAAGGCTTTTCGGTCGTGACACTATTGAACGTTACGTTTATCTCCACGCGCGATGACGATGATGGACAAAAACTGCACGCGTTTGTTGCGCAGACAGCAGGGGAGAGCACGGCCCTTACTCACACCAATTTATGTACCACAAAGACAGCAAGCACCCTGGGCGTGTTGTTTGTCAACGGATGTCGGTGTACGCGCCAAATGACTCTCCGTCTTTCTCCGCCGACATCGACTACGATGCGCTTGTCGACGGACGCACCAGCGCGCGAGAAAATGCATCCTGGTGCGAAAAGAAAGAGCCAAGTCTCGCGATTGTGCGTATACCTTGTACTTCTCCTTTGCTACGATCACCGGCATCTGTGGTGCATGGCGCCTTGCTCGTCCCTCCGAAAGGAAATGGCGCGGAAAAACGCGGCACCGCTCCATTACCCGCGGTACTGTACATCCCCAACCCCGAGGAGAATTGGCAAACCGCCCGGTGTTCTAAGGCTTGTCGGCAGATAGACGTGTTCCTAACGAAAGAGAGAGGGGGGGGGGGGATACTCACAGCCGTGCATGCTAGTGTCGTTAGACAGTTGACCTCGCATTCCGACAAAGCCGGGACGGAGCACGATGTTTCTTGTTGTTTTAGGAAGAAAGCAAACTGGCCTCTGCATGAATACATGGTTGCGTCGCGCTCCGGAGGCCCGCCCGAGCGTGCTCGCGATGTGCGGCCAGCCCACCGTCTACACCAGTCACAAGCAGGACCGAGATACCATCAACCACCAAAACTGCTGTGTTTTGCGTCTTGCTGATCGATCGGCCTTGTAACTTGTACCCAGGTGTAGCGAGCGTGAAGTCACGGTGGGAGGGTGGTTCGGGGCGTGTGTTCCAAGCGTCCGGGTGGGGAATGAAGGAGAGGCGCAGGTGCCTGTCGATGGTGGCAGTCGGGGACGTGGCCGGGGTGGAGTACTCGCTGAGAACGGAGGATGGCTCGCCCTTCGAGACACGGTTTGATCAGGTAAGCGGGAACAGCAGTCTTTGGTTGTGGTTCTCTTGTGGTTGGCCCGTACTCCTCTTGGTTGGCAACGAGGGTGGTCCGTCCTTGGAGACTCGGATTGACCCGGTATTCGGGAATATTTTTTACGGTTCACGGTTCTTTTGTGGTTTTGGGTTTTGGTGACAATCTCCTGCTTGGCGAGGAGGATGGTTCGCCGTTCGAGGCCCGCGTTGACCGGTAGAGTTCTGAGTTTTGAGGTTGAGAGCGGCAAGCTTGTCATTGCGAACCCCAAACGCATGGTGGCCAATATTCTCGCCTTAGGCCACACAGTATATGGACATGGAAGAGTCGGAACAACGTTGTCACTGGTTCGGAATCACTTGGTTATGTGTCGGTCCCATCAACTTTGGCTCGAAGTCTCCTGCTCGGGAAGGAACATGGCTGGTCTTGGTGAAACGGCGACATGATTTGGGCGTCGTTGTTGATGTAGTAGTAGACACAGCGTGCTCGGGGTTGTGCTCGTAGCATATGCCCGAGTTTATGTATTTTTTCGCCGTTTTGGTAGTGGTGGGGTCGATCGCTGACGTTTGTTGCCGTACGCTTCTGCGTGTCACTTTATTTATTTTTTTGTCACTGCTGTGTGTGCTTCTGCACTCTTGTGGGTCTCCCTCGTGGCCGAGTGATGATGTTTCTACCGCGTTCGGCTAGGTGCTCCCGCCCCCGTGCGCTAGCTTCAACCCAGGGCCGGTGGCCTGCGGCGGAGTCTGTGCCCATGTTCTCTGCTCGAGGGCACCCCCACCCTCACTCGCTTTGACCCCCTGTCTGGCCCACTTGACCAGGGGAGAGTGAAGCTTGTGGTGGGCGGGGGAGGCTTCGCCCCGTTCTTGCACAACGCCGTCCTGAAGATGGAGCCCGGGGAGAAAAAGGAAGTGACGGTCCCGCCGAAAGACGCCTTCGGGGAATGTGAGTTCCGGCTCGGCCGAAAGATGTACCTATGCCGTAGGTTGCTGACGTAGGTTGCTGATGTACGACAGCACACCCCCCTTGGACCGATTTTCCACAAGCTCGATTGGTCAAGCTCTAAGGACGGCGCCGAATTGGCGGTGTTGGAACCTCCATGTTGGGAGCTTCCCGAAAACGTGTCGCCTAATTTTGGCATTATCTTCGTCGCGGAGTAACCGAGCTTCGGAAAACCGGCCCGAGGTGTGTGGTGTATTTTGCAGCCTTCGTTGTAAATATCCCGTGCTCGGCGCCGGGACCAAAATCGTTGCAGTCTGCGTAGCCCCTTTACGGAGTGATGGTGATTTTTTGGTTGCACGATACTGCTGTATGTGGAAGCGCTTTCGCCATGGCCGAGTCTGGTGTGCCGTCGTCCCTCTCAAACTCCTCAAACTCGTGGCCATTGTTTTTGGCTCGGTGCTAGATCTTGTTCGCGGCTGGATGCAGCCCCCCAGCGTGTCGCCGCGCTGCGTTTTCGTCATTTTATGTGTGCTTCTCCGGGAGAAGTGCCTTGGTTCGCCCACGATGTTTTTTGGCTCGGGGCTGTGTCGTCTGTGCACACGTGGCCGTAAGTTTGGTGCTCGATCTTGTCTGCGGGTGCACGCAGTCCCCCAGCGTGACACCGCGCTGTCTGTTCGTCGTCTTTTATGTCTTATGTGTGTTTCGCCGGAAGAAGTCGTTTCGTTTGCCCCACGATGTGCGCTAGCCAGCCACTTCTTGGATTGCCTCGGCCGCACGCTGATTCGAGTACCACTTTTTCTGGCCGTGCTCCTCCGCTACAGACGACCCTGAGCTGACAGCGACTCTCGGAATGGACTCCGCCCCGGGAGACATAAGCGTCGGCACCGTGGTGAGCGGCTTTGGGCCCCACCGTAACCCCTGAAGAGCAGTCTTGGGCGGCACGCCCCGAGCATGCATGTGCACGCATGGATTTTGTGGGAGCTTCGTCGAGAGCATCGCTGCTGTTGTCGTTGAACGTTGTGTTTTTTTTTTTTTTTTTTTGAACCGTTTGCCGTGTCGCCGGTGCGGCCACTCCAATCAAGTGTCGAGGGTGTGCCGAGAAACGCCGATAGGGACGGCTAGTTCGCCCGGAGTCTAACAGGGTTTCTATTCGAAACTTTCATTCTGTCGGCGCCGGACAGTCCTTTTCTTGTATAGCTGCTGTTGTGTCTTGGTCATTGCGCGCGCGGGGGGGTCCGCAGATCGAAACGAGTCGCCGCGGCATAGGCAGTCTATGACACCCAAACGACGAACCGGTACTCGGCAGTGACTGTCATGGCAGTCGTCTCTCCCCGACACCTTCATGCTCCGGTAGGGCATTCTGCTACAACGCCACGTCTGTTGCGGCGGCTAGATCGATGATGACCCCCCTTCCTCAAGGAGCAATCACTAATATGCCCCGTTGTGTGCCTTCTCCTCGACTGAGTGACTGGTTGCTGAAAAGAGTAACATGTGGCAGTTCCTCCCAGTTG